CACCTAGAAGGAAGCAATCTTGCCAACTCCTTTATCTTGGACTTCTATCTTTGAAAATGGTGAGATATATTTATGTTTTTTAAGCACCATAGTTTTGGGTGCTTTGTTGATGGTGGCCCTAGGAAACGAAAACAAGCCTTCTCAGCCTGACCTTCTATTACAACCATATCCTTGTCTTTGGCCCCTAACTTGTCCCTGCCTCTCCTGATCACTACTTGAATAAATCTCATTTTAATCTCACTCCACTCTTCTCTCCTGATACCCTTCAGCACTATTTCTGGTCAGGAGGTACCACTGGCACTTTAGGTGAGGTAGTTCTCTGTGTGGGACTGTCCTACACTTTGCAGGCTATCAGGCACTCCTGATGCACTCATTCCCCCAGGATGGGACCAAGACCAGTAGACCACTACTACTCCAGAAGCTTTGGAGTCAGTTGCCTGCCAGGATTTGACTCAGGGGCCCTGCCCTCTTCATCTGTAAAACCTCAACAAATAACTACCTTGTCATATGACAGTGACATGACATTAATCCAACAAATTAAAGATCTAAAAGAACCTAGCCATATTCTCACTGGTTCATTAAAGCATTAGAATAACTTAGAAAATAACACTTGTCTATTCTACACGATCATATTCTGACTTTAACTGCTTCAGAACTCTTTTCTAAGGCTTCCTTACACAATGCAGCTTCACTAAATACACTCCATAGGGATGCAACAGCTTGACTGGTACATGATAATTATATGTTTAAAATAATAATCAATCATGCAAAGTAGTGGGTATACATTGTACAGTTGAAAAAGCAAGACAACTATAAGCATAGTTTCTGTGTGTTCCCCCATTGTACCCACCTTCACTTGAAAATAGTGTCACAGACCTGGATACCCCTCGACAAAGCTCCATATTTTTCAATTTTGCTTCCAATTTCTTTGTCTCTTTTGCTCTCAGTGATTGTTAGCTCTATAAGACCCAGGGATATACTGCTGTCTAGCTCATCTCACCCTCCCCCACCAAAATATCTCTCAAGCCAGAATCAGTCCTTCATCCCTCTTGATTAAGTATTTTGCATGCTAAGTCTCTGAGCTTCAGAGAGACAGGCACTGATTTGTGCCACGTCTGTTTTCCTGACCAACCTGACACCTAGCATCTAATATCACCTAACACAGAGCCTGCTACTCAGTTTTCAATGTTTGCTTGACAAACATATGATTTAATCAATACAGGCCTGGAGGATGCAGCTCAGTGGCAGTGGACTTGCATGTGTAAGGCCCTGGGTTCAATCTCTAACATGTGGGTAAACTTAACATGAGTGTTAACACGTGAACAAAAGCATGGATAAGTGAACTCATGAATGAATGCATTCAAGAATCGGGAATCTGGTTTCCAGTTACATCTTAGCCCTACAATGACCAGCATAAATGATCTCGGGACAAGCCACTTAAGCTCTATGCCCAAATTTCCTTTTCTATAAAATTAAGTAGCTGGRCTTCACTATAAAATCACTTCCGGTTTCCCTCTAATTCTAACTCAGCCCAGAGACTTTAATCAAGGATAAAATTCTTTATTTGCTTTTTGAGAAATTTTAGTCAAGGCAAGCAGGAAGGTAAAGACTTCTGAAATCACATGGGGTGGGTGGTGTGGTTGCTCCCTGCCAGAGAGCACCTTGTTCCCTGAGGAACAAAAGGCTCCAGGACACAGATAAGAACAGATACTTTAAACATCTCTGAGATGCTGAGCACTGTGGAATTTGTTATCATGGGCTTCTCTCAGGAAGTTGAATCTATCTTGTCCTCAAAAGTGGGACCTCTGCTGCCCATCCGTCCCTCCCCTCAAAGCTCCTCCCTTTCTAGCCTGAGCAAGATGGGCACATGAACTGTTTCCAAGGCTCCAAATCTAACTCAGTTCCTCTTCCTGCCATCTGCATAAGGCTCCCACATGCATATTTTACAATTTCAGGCATATTTCCTCCTTATCTGACAGCCTGCAATGCAGCACTCTATATGATTTTATCTCTGGTAAGAATGTTCCTGAAGGAGGGGCCTGTTTGGGGACTGTACTTTATTACTGCTGGTTTCACCTTTCCCCCACCTGGTCTGTGAATTCCTTCMGGACAGAAACCACACCCTCTATTCTCTGGTTCCCCCAAAGACCAAGGACAGAACTGGGCAGGCTACAAATGTTTAGAAAATACAGTTGAATAAATACATGCATGAACTAATTGACTGATTTTAATGTTTTTAAGCGAAAAAGCCACATTAATGTATTTCCTGGACAAAGTTACCAATGCTTCCCCTTTGGGGTATATATTTAGAATAAATTAAATTTTAAAATGACAATTCTATGATTATACTATATTCTTAGAATGGAAATAAAATATCCCTTCATTATAACAATGAATGACAGCAACATTATCAGTTGTATAATAAGAGATTTCTGATTTGGGGGTATCCATGACATAATAATTTCACATTATTTTCAATTCCTATTAAAAASAGACTTGACCTTGAGCCAGGGAAGATGACAGGGCAATCCCCCCTCCTATATTATAGGAGTTATTCCAACTGTTGAAGTTTCTGAACTCASAGGAATCAGAACAAGAAAAGAAGATTTTCTCTAAATAGTTTATTTAAGCATATTGCTAACTGCAGCAAAGTATCTTTTTGGAAATCCTTGGGACTTAGCTAAGTCTAATTCTAGTCACATTCCTTCCTTATAGTTTAATAAACTTCAACTAAAACCAAACTGACTTGGGAATCAAATTATTTGTTCTCTCATGCACTTGCTGGTCACACTCGAGTACTGAATAAAACCCTAACAGCAAGCCCAACTCTGCTAGAATGAAAAAAGCTTTTCCAGGAACTTAGCCTCTCCAGCCCAGGAGCTGACCTAAACATTTTCATTATTTCTAAGAAATCATTTTTTTTTGTATATGAGCATAAACTTTATATCACCAAAAGTATCTGTATTACAGAAAAACTATGTACTGATATGGGAGACAGTATTATAATTGGGGAGACTCCACGAATGAGGATAGTCTAAAACATGAAAAACTTGGGTCTTCACACGGCAGACCATTAAAATGAATAATTAGTGTTTGTGGGCTATGTGATAACCTTCAGATCCAATGCAACCATTCCAGAACATATGCTATCAGGCAGTACAGTGATGGGACCTGAGACAACAATGAAACACCCAAGRAAAAGAATAAATTCACTTTGAAGCTAATAGGTATATTGTTCAAGTAAAAGAAGCTCTTATAAAGCGTCTGTCGCATTTACTCAACTGAGGAAGTCAAAGTATTTGAAACCTAGAGTACAACCCTGAGTTATTCTTCAAAATCCTTAATTTTACAGAAGAAAAACTCAGGCAGAGAAGGGGTACCTAATTCAAACTTACATTATTAGCCAATGTATGCATTAAAACTTAAGTTTCTTAATTTTGGTTCCATATACAAACATATAACATTAATTTTAAAAATTAAAAAGCATACAAAAAGCAGGCATTAGCATCTGTTCATGGGATTGATGACAGAGGGAAGCAGGGTTCTAGAACTACTGACAGAATAAACCAAATAACTACCTGGACTTCGCCTTGGGCTTACCGGAGGTAGGCTAGGCTCAATRCTATAAGGCATTCTATCCACAAGCAATAAAGTGCCATTGGAACAATTATCAAAGCAGGCAAGTTTGTGTTGAAATTAAAAGCATCTTTAGTAAGAATTACAGGTTTCCAAACACATGAAGTGCAGCTTCAATGGGGAAAATCTATAAAAGGCAGGTATGACTAAGCAACCACAAATAATTAGAAACACCAGAAACTGTCAGGAGTTTGAGAACCAGAACATGCCTGCACAGAAAGATAAAATGGGGTTTCCCACATATTGTTCCTAGTTCAAATAGGGATCTTCATACTATGTAGATTTATTTTTAAATAAAAAGTTTTAGTAATTTATAAGGATATTCAAATGATATCTTATTCTACCTTCTGTTCCACCCAAAAAACAAATTTTGAGACAATCAGGTTGAGCTACTAGGCAGGCAAACTTTAAACAATTAATATTGCACTTCCTGATGCATCTGATTATGTATTGCAGGATTCTTTTGAACCTATAGCTTAACTCTTAGCTAGGGAAACCAAATCTCAATAAATGTATAAAACACATGTGCTATATGTCTTAGTGGGATGTCAACTATACTACTGAATTTTYCCTTAAAGTTTGACATCTTTGGTTACTAACTTTTTCTTAAAATTAAAAAAGTGATGTGGGGGGGGGGCAACTACTTAAAGAAACACATCATCCTCCAAACAGCATCTAAAAGTAATTACAGACCACAATTTATAGACCCCCAAGATGAACCTTCCCACACATTATGAGGGGAAAGAACACACGCACACACACACATTTCCGTAAAAATATTTATTGCATCCTGGGCAAAAAGTGATCAAACAACCCTAGCACAACAGGACARACCTGGTTTACCGTTCTCTTTGCTCAGATATAAAAGTAAAGAAAGGTTCTTGGTTGCAGGTAAGAGGGTGAAGAGCAATTCCCATTTAAACTTGTCTCACTTGGGAGTCAGATTAGCAAACCAAAGTAGCCCAGAAAAGCTCCAGTACAAAATAAACGCAGACTGAACGTCCCAAATCCGGAAGGACAAAACTAAGGGAAGGGGGACCTACAAAGCTCTAGAACCACCCCCTTCCCCAAAATTCCAAAGTCGCACTACAGGAGCAGGGGGCTCCCCTCGGACTCCATTTTCCCACCGCCTCGTCTCCTTCTCCAGGCAGCGCAGGGTGGGCTTGTGGGTGAGCCCGGGGTCCCCCACCCACCTTACTTCCCCGCCTTTTTCATTGTTGTCCAAGTGTGATGGATCACCTGCCGGGTGCCGGCTCCGCAGGCGGTCGCGCCAGGACSCGCCGGGGCGAGCGCGGCACACCTACCACGGGATCCCCGCCCAGCGCCCCGCGACCCCAGCCCGCCGCCGTCCCAGCCGCACTCACCGCCACGAAGCCCGAGGAAGAAGCGATGAACACGCGGATGACCATCCTCTCGCCGCGCGCGGGACGGACCCTGTGAGCCAAAGGACTCCGGGCTGAACTGACGCTGAGGCTAAAGCCGGCTTAAGCTGCCTCCACCGTCTGCAAAGGCGCTGCCGTCGAGGAAGATCGCCGGGATCTGGCTCCCTCCCGCTGGTCCGCAGATGAAAGCCCAGCGCCGCCCGGCCGCAGGCTGAGGGGTGGAGGGAGGAGGGAGTGGCTGCGGGGCGTGATGGGAGTTGTAGTTTCCGTCTCTCCCCAGTGTGTCTGGTGGACCGCAGCTTTCAGCCCCCTCCTCCCGTGCCTGGATCCCCTAGGCGCGCAGGTGGCTGGAGAGCGCACAGCAGGCCGGGGAAAACAGTGATTTGGGTGGCAAGGAGCCCAGTGATACAAGGAAAAGGCAAACTAGGCAAAATGGCTTGGTTCAAAGTCCGAGCTTAGGTTCTGTATTGTGGTTTACTGGTTTTAGAGCATCCCCACCCAGGATCTCCTACGAACATGATCGCGCCAAGGAGACACACAGGATTAGTCTCAGCGACCTGAGTTTGACAGGATGGGGCGGGCCAGGTTCTCAAGATGTGGGGTGTGTGTGTGTGTGTGTGTGTGTGTGTGTGTGTGTGTTGGGGGATGGGGGCTGGGCTTGCCTGTTTATCCAGCATCTCTGGAGGTGGTAGAAAGGCAATTCTTTTAGGTAAATGAGAGGTTTTCTTTTTTTCTGCAGACGCTGAAAATTAGAAACCCAGATGAGAGTATAACCGATATTKTATTTTTCTTAGCAAAACTGTAATTGTAGTAGAAAAAATAAATACCAAGCGAAATTAGAATCCTTCTATCAACATTGGGAATCAGGACCCCACCCGCCCCACCCCCTATTCTACACAATAACTCTGCTTCTGTGCACCTAATATTTAGAGTTGAGCCAAATCTGAGCCTTTTTCAAAACTGCTGCACATTCCTGCGCAGTCTCCCCGGAGGCTGCCATTAAATAGAAAGCTTTTAGGTAGTTGTTAGTAGTTTAGGAATACTTCTTTAGCAAGTGTTTTCTGTTTGACAAAAGCTCCAAGCTTCTCACAGTTTGGTGGAAATGAATCCGTTTTCCCGCAATACTGTATTTACTTTCTTTGTTTCAGCAGGGGACTTTAGCAGAGTTCTGGGAACAAAGTTAATTAATAGGTCTAGAAAAAAAGAAATTAGAAGATGAGATCTCTTGGTAAATTGCTTGTATAAATCATTCTGGTGTATTTTCTAGAGCAATTTTGAATATTAATTTCTAACCTTTCCTATTGCTTATCTTAAGTAAGCCATTCCTGTGGTATTCCTTTTTTATTAGTATAGTAAAAGAATATACAATCCTGGTGGAATTTCATTTCTTCTTAGAGTTCAAAAAATTTAAATTTTGCTGTAGCTTGTGTGTGTGTGTATTTAATTTTGCAAATATATTTTAATTTTGTTACTTTAAATGTGGACATATATGTTTATAATATATAATATAATTCTCATAAAATTAATACCATATTTCCTGTGAAAATGCAAGTCTTTACAAAAATCAACATTTTCTTCATTTTGGATTGTTTAGTTGTGAGGATATAAGCTCAATAAATTTAACTCAGAGCCTATTCCATGAGAGGTACCAGAATGGAAAAAGTTAAGTCATTTCTTGGGTCAGCAGAGCACCTATTTTCTGTGAAACAAAAAGATGGGTACAAAAATAGCAACAGAAAGAGGCACACTGTACTAATAGAATGTTGTGTGTCCCTGACCTTTTGTAAAAGGGACTTTAAAGATGAATACAATGTCAGCTTGCAGATATAAAAGATACAAGGTAGTATTCAGTGTATGGGRAAAACAGGAAAAAGCTGGTATCACTTCAGAAAAGTCATGAGGARGCTGGCAGGAAAAAAAGTTCAAAAAGTAGATTTGAATGGATACAACAAAGGATTTTTAACTGGCTTACCAACCCAGCTCCTTTCACTTTTCTGGCATCTGTTTCTCAGCTCTGATCCTAGAGTGATAGAGGTAGAACCTCAACACAACACCACCACCAAAGAGTGTTCATACACCTTTTCATACAAAAAGAGCCAGCCCTCTGGCCATAGCTGATTGGTTTGAGAGTAAGTGCCTGAATCAAGCAAGGTCAGGCCACATCCCTATCCTAAGGATTTGGATCTGGGACTGGAAAAGTAAGAAAACTTGAATTTATGACCTAGAAGCTCAAAGCTTTCAGAAGCTGTGCTAGTCAGCTTTCCCTTGTTGTTGACAAATATCAGGTATAAATAACTTAAAAGAAGAAATGTTTATTTTGGCTAATGGTTTCAGAAATTTCGGACCATGGCCAGTTGGCTTCATTGTTTTGGGACCGGTGGTGAGGTAGATCATGACTGCATGAGTATATAGCAAAGGAAACTGCTCACCAAATAGCATCCAGGAAGCAAAGAGAGAAAGAGAGGAGGAGCCCAGGTCAACATCCCCTTCAAAGGCATGTCCTTAGTGACCTCAAACCTAAGTTCCATTAAACCCCCATCTCCTAAAAGTTTCGCCATGTCCCAGTAGTGCCACAGGATGATGACCAAGCCTTTAAAGCATTAGTCTTTGGAGGACATTTAATATTCAAACCATTAATAGAAACCATGTTCTAACATGAGAACCAGAGAAGGCAAAGAAGCTAGTCTTTCAGAAGAGTACAATAAAGCAGCCATCTGGTGGGTGACAGAAATTTCAGAGTCCTGACAGTGCTTTAATCTAGGGCAACCTTAAACTACAACCTACATGTTGAATTTGGACAACTATTTGTTTTGTAATTCAAATTCTATTGGAACACATTCCTTTTCATATTATCTATAGCAGAGCAACAGAGACCATATGATCTGCAAAATTTGAAGCCTTTACTATTTGGTCTCTTACAGAAAAAGTTTGCCAATTCCTGTTTCTGGTTTAACCTGTTCCTATAACCCTGCTATTGAGGGCAGTGTAATATCCTTGCATCCATGGTATGTTTCTAGTTTTATTAAAGCCACCACAAACAAAAATACAAAGAAAAGTGCCCTGAGAATTTTGCATTTAATTTGTAAGCATTCCAAGGATCTGCAGTTGAAGAATATTACTCTGGTAATAAATGATTTTTCCCATCCTTATTTAAACAGTTAATCTCAACAGTTCTATGCACAGTGAAGTGTGTTAGCAGTCCAGGAATCAGGCAAGTACAGAGTGATTGAGGGTTGAAAAAAAAACAGGGATATTAAGCTACAAGTCCAATACCAAAACCAAGGTATCATACCATGGAGCAGTTTGGATACCAATCAGATGAGTAAAGTCTTTAGATAGAGTAAGCAGCTAAAACTTGAAGACAGAGCTCAGAAAACTGATTAGATCATTAGGCTTTAGAAAAGTTGCTAGGACTTGTCCCACGTACAAGTCATGATAGACTATCTGGCAAAACTGTTTGAAGTGAGTGTCCTTAAATTTTTGTGTGTACAGTGGAAAACTAGGGACTTTTAGCAGTCTAATGAAGTCCATGGACCCTATCTCAAAAATATTTTTGTTTCCAGTACTGCATAGAAAATAAAAAGGATTGCAAAGGAAACTAATTACATTGCAAAACAGTTATCAAAAGAGTAAGTACATTTTGGGGGGGCTGAGGTTGTGGCTCAGTGGTAGAACACTTGCCTGGCATGTGTGAGGCAATGGATTTAATCCTCAGGACCACATAAAAATAAAATAAAGGTATTGTGCCCATCTATCGATTAAAAAAATAGTAAATACATTTTTGATATGCTATATTAGTATTATTGCATAAAGTTCTAGKATAACTAGCTACCCTGATTCTGAAGTAGTAATGGGAAAAACAAAATTTTGCAATATTTACAATTAGAAAACAAAACTACCTATGACTTCTATTAGTAATTAAATCAGAAGTATTGTTCTTGCTGTGGTTTATTGCCTATATTCATAATTGAAGGAACTGGTAAAACTATTGGAACTAGACCCGCTCAAGATTAAAGGAGGAGAGCATTTTGGTTAGCATTTAGTAAAAATATAAAGATGTAATTTTTTTTCTCATTCAARTTCATGAACCCTTTTAATTTCTTCCAAGAATCTCTAGATTCGGGTGGGAGGAAGTCCAAGAAGAACCCAGGTTAAGAAATCATGGAGTCGGTATCCAAATCTATTGAAGTCTATGATTTCATATAAGAAGAATGAATAGAAAGAAACAAGAATTGAAAGGAAAACAAGGAATAAAAAGCATGAAGGAACCATCAGAACTGTACAAAATGGGAAAATATACAGTAGCACAGAACCCAAGAGTTTAAAGTTTCAGAAAGTAGACAACAGCTAAGGAATAGCTTAATAGCTAAAGGAAACAAAGTAAGGAATAGCTAACAGCTAAAGGAAATTCCCAGTCCATTTGGTCACAGATGTTTGGACATCTGTGTACTTGTCCCAGATGACCTAGTGCAGCTTGAAAATAATTCATGATATACATATATATGACCAGGCTTGAAAATATATGCTAGCCCATCGAGTTCCTGTCTCAGGAGTTTCCAGTGGGAGAACTGATGACTAAGGTAGTTGGTAGTAGGAATATAAAGGGAGATGCTGTGGCAGGGTGAGGACAGGATGAGGAGCTTTGAACAAGTTGGGGCAATGAGGGAGCTAAAGTGGAAGGACAACACAGGTCTGTGGAAAAAGGAGAATGGAGCCTCTGTGCAGTGAGAAGCAGAGACTCTAACTGGGAGGCCAGTGCGGTGTTCTTCCAGTCTCAGCTTCCACGCATCCAAGTCTGCTACAGTTCCTGCTTTTGAGTTGCTGTTCCATAAGCCCCTCTCCTCCTTTAATCTTAAACTAGTTCTAAGTGGGTCTCTTTTCCTGGAAGCTATAAAATCCTGAACCAAATACCATGGAAAGCACAGATAGTAAATTATGCTCCTTTAGGGGTCAGGCAGGTGGCATAAACAAAGGAGGTGAGGAAGGGACACATCATAAGAGGTGGGCACTATGAAGTCTAGAGCAAACAGGATGGCACGTCTCCTTCAGATTTTTGTCGAAATATTTGATTTTTTTCAGTCTTGATTTTCAAATACTGATCCCTCTAAACCAACACCAACTGCAGGTCCTGTGGGGCCCTGTGGTTCTCCAGGTTTCTCCCTCCAAGGTCAAGCACTGAGCCCAGGGTTT